CGGCTTTGCTCTGGGAACGGCGGCGCAGCGCTTGGAGAGAGCCGAGACCGAGCAGCAGTTCCGAATAGATAAGGAAGCTGACTTACTGGTAGTAGACAGCGTGGAAAGATCCCTTTCCTGGTTTGAGGGCTGGTAAGCCTGAGAACTCGGCTCAATGTCTGGTAGGAACGATGACTGAGTGATGAATGAGCGGCGGTGCTTCCGTAAATTGTGTCGGCGTGATGACGTCGACAAGCCACGCTGGTGATGGGAATGCTGGGAAGTGTAGTAGCCCACCGGTTTGGTCCATAGGGAGTGGTCAGCAGGAGGAGTTCGTGACACATTTCATTTTTTTAGCCAAGAAATGAGAACAAAGAAAGGCAGTGGAAGAGATGTGTTGCTGTTGGAGATTCATTTGCATATAATGAATATTAATGAACTTATTATTATTATGAAATTAACTTGACCCCCTGAAACTGGAGCGTGAGAGCTTTTTCCACAGAAAAGTCTTTGTAACACATTCCTTCATATTAGAGACCACAGCAAGTGTATTGGAAAAGAGCCAATGAGACCTTTAAATGTCACACATAGTTTTTTTAATGCATTCCAAGCATATTTGGTTCAGCTTTGTTTAAGTCTGCATTCCATTCAGTTTTTTTCATTTGCATATACCTTCTGGAAACATGCTTACAGGTTACTTTTTTATCTCTGGTTTGTACGCATGGAAACCTCTCACCTAAACAGAAAACATGGCTTGACCTTTCCAGTTGCAAGAGCTATCCAATTCCGCTTGTGTCCATTCTTAAGCTAAGCCAGTTTGCGGCTGTCACAAGTTTCAGATTTATCTAACAGTCTTTGTAGGGTATTATTATTCTCATCTTACTCTTGGCAAGAGAGCTAATGAGCACATTTTCCAAAATGTCAGAGTAAAAAAAAAGTGAAAATACTCTTCTGTTTAAATGCATGACTGATGACTATATTTATCGTCTGTTGGCACGCTGGCAAGGTTAAAGTGTGTTTGTATCTACTTTCTGAAAGCAGTTTGGAATCCAGCCATGCAGCAGACACGCATCTCTGTGTTGAACATTAGCCAAATGTCCGTGATGTTTATGAGCTAGCAGAACCTTTTTGTTTCACAGTTGTCCCGCTTCAAAAGAAAGGAAATTGGAAGCATTGAACTTGCTCTACACCATTCACACCGAGTCATTTAATGCAGCTGACTTAAATCTTTTTACTGCGTTGAACACATTAGTCCTTTTACCCAGAATGCCCCAGAGCTGTGTGCCTGGCCTCTCTTATCAACAAACAGGCACATGACAGGTTTGGTCCCCCACAGTGTTTTTACACAATTTAACTCAACTATTTCTTCTTGTGTTTCACAGCAAGCTCAAATTAAATCAAATTTGTAAACAAGTCCACCTTTACTATATTAGATCGGTCCTGATGAATATGGAGGGCTTTAGAAAACCTCTTTGTCACACAACCACAATATTTTGTGCCCTTTTGATTAACGGGGCATGGAAACTATTAGGTGGAGGAGGAAGTGAGGCAAAGCAACACATTCAACAGCTTTAAATGCTAATTAGCTAATGGAGGATGAAAGAGCAGACAACTGGCGGCGTCTCACATGAGCACACTCAGGCTCTGGTTGCAGCTACGCTAGTTTCATCTAAACTGAACAAGACCACCACCATTTTGTGTTCTTGAGTACAACTGACATAACAGCCATCTTGTGTAAGATACTGTTTTTTTTTTGTGATCATTTCTAGTCTGTCAGTGAGGATTGATTTCATCTTATTAAATTAGTTTTACTCAACTGCACCCTTCCATGTAAAATACTTTCCCTTTTTTCTAAGCCTCAAAATTTACGTTTTATATGTAAACACATACATAATTCTTAAATACTGCCTTCTGTAAAGTCATTTGCAGTTGTAAAAAATTGATAGCCTTCTGTAAAGAGAACTTTTTTTAATGCAACAAAAAGTCACCACCTGGATTTAATTAAGCAAATAGGTAGGAGCCTCTTATTGGATCACTTCTGCATGGTGATTATTCTTCAGCTGACGACTAGTTATTTAACCCCATCTGGTGCAATAAGCTGATTCTCATTTCTTAAACAACCATGTGGAAAGACACATCTGGTGGTCGTGGAAAGGATGTTGGTCTGTTTGAGAAGGGTCAGATCATTGGCATCAAGCAGAGAAAACATCTAAGGAGATTGTAGAAATGACTAAAACTGGGTTAAGAGCTGTCCAACGCATTATTAAAAACTGGCCTGAGTCCAGATGGACCGTGTTCCAGAGTGATGGTGCATCAGGGTAAGAAGAGAGGCAGATTAAGTGATGCACCCATCATATCTAGTGCCAACTATACAAGCCTGTGTGGGTAGTGCTATGATCTGGGGTTGCTGCAGTTGGTCAGCAACAGGATGTGCTCCAAGAATGAGGTCAGCTGACTACCTGAATATACTGAATGACCAGGTTATTTCATCTTCCCTGATGGCACGAGCATATTCCAAGATGACAATGCCAGGATTCACCAGGCTGAATGAGTAGTTCAGGGAGCATGGGACATGATTTTCACACATGGATTGGTCACCACAGGGTCCAGACCTTAACTCCATTGAGAATCTATGGGATGTGCTGGAGAAGGCTTTGTTTAGCAGTCAGACTCTTACCATCATCAATGCAAGATCTTGGTGAAACATAAATGCAGCACTGGATGGAAATAAACCTGGTGACGCTGCAGAAGCCAATTGAAAAAAAGCCCCAGTGAATGTTGAGATCAAGCAGTTCCAGCTCAATGAAAAGTCATTCTCTGTCAGCCATTGCTCCTTGTGTGGATTGGCATTTACATGTTTTTTGGTAACACTGTACAATAAGGGTCCCTTTATTAATGTATTACTTAGCATTGATTAAAAAAAATTCTCTAAATTATTAAAGTTCCTAACATTAACTACAAAGGGCAGATTGCACCAACAAAGTTTAACTTTAAACTCAGATTAAATCATACTTTAAGTTTAAATTCTGTTGCACCAAACTTTAAACCTAGTTTAAAATTATGACAGATTAAATTTAAACCCAGTTTAATTTTTACACTAAACCAAGTTTAAATTTAAGCCTGTTGCACCAGAACTTTAAACCCCAGTTTAAGCTATGATCTAGGTTTAATTTTAAACCTGCTAATGAGGAGGTTTGACTTAAGCAATGGCTATATTTTTAGGTCAGTCTAGCAAAATGATGCTGTTCTTCAAAGAAAACTGTTAAACAGGCTCAGTTCACTTGAATGTTATGATATAAAGATGAACTTTTGGTAAGTTACCGGTTTACCAAAAAGTCTACTTTAGAGCTGTTGTTTTTTTCAGCAAACCTTAAGCCGGGGCCCACTTAGTAATGTATTACTTTATATTAACATTAATATTAAGCTGTTGTTATACCTTAATAGTTGTTAATGCTTAAAAAAGCACTAAGTAACATTAATAAAGGGACCCTTATGAGAAAGCGTTACCATTTTGGGTTTTTTTACTTTCTTTTTAACAAAATAGGAAAAATTTAAAATTCCAAAATCAACACAAGATTCTAAAATTTCTGTTGAATCTCACACCTCCTTCAAGTTATTTACATTTACAAGCTGTAAATAAACTGTTAGGATCAGATACGTCACTGCAACGTTAGGCAGACCCACCCAAAAAGGTTACACCCCCTGCTGCCCTGGCGGAGAACTGCTCCAAGACACAAACGGAGAAATGGAAAAGGAAAATGTCTCCATCAATCATATCTATATGGTTAATACATGTGCGTGAGAGTGCAAACTTGCTTGGCTTTATACGCTTAATGTGTTTAATCTCCCCGAGTACCATAACTAACTATGCCTTTTGGAAACAGCTAGACTCAAAATGATGTGACATATTTAAATTTGATCATTTTCTTCAGCAGCACTCATAGGGATTGGGCAACTAGGAACCCCAATGTAGTTTAAACCACAGTACCATTTGTCATTGAGAGAAGTAACCAAGGGTTTTCTTAAGGATCCTCAACAATGTCTAATGACATTTTGAGTGTTTACATATTTTGTCACTCACCAGCATATTAAACTGAAGTTGACACAGACTTTAGTCTGGAAATGGCATCTCTGTCATCTCTTCCCAGTTTGTTGGGGACCATAAAAATGTTTTGCAGACTTTGAGGATTCTTTTTTAAAAGCCACAGATTATTCATAACCTTCAGTGTTTCCTTGAGAGAGATCTAGAGGCTGTGAATAAGAGGTTGGGAGAGAAAAAAGCACACTGTCACGAAAAGAGCCGCTTCCTGGCCGGCTAGATGCAATCATCGGCACTATCTGATAGCACTGGCGGAAATTGGATGAGCTGAGAGCTGTTGGCTGCCTGTGATGGAAAAGATGACTCTTTTGTCACTGTGTCAGTCAATTCCCTACTCTCACCTGAGAGACCAATCAATAACACAAGGATAGAGGTTTTCTCTGTGTGCTGTGTAGGCTGCTGTCAATTATGGGCTGTAAAACACCTTCTTATTCAGAGGAATGTGTTCTGCCATGTTCCAAATTCTGTATAAATATGTCATGATGTGAGAAAGACGTATTTATAAGAGTTGTAAGTACATTTTATCCTTTTTTTTATTTATATATTCTATATTGCATGGATGGTTCAGGCAAGACTATGCTTGAACTAGTCCTTTGTCCCAGATTAAGATGCTGCTAGTTATAAATTTTGTGTCATCTTTACAGCTCACAAAAGGCACAGCTGCTCCCTTTAGCAACTGCATCATTACCTGTGCAATTACAGAGCATAAGACCCAGCGAGACTCATAACCATCCTCTATCAGGCATGTGGAATTGCATCAGGCATAGAGGACATCTTGCACCATATAGATGTTTAAACAGACAGATCACTGAACGAATAGATTATTATCTAGAGATTTTCTGCATACTGCTTATAGACATGCTGTTCTTAAGACAAGGCTAAACTGTCCTTTTAATCATTCCTCCCTCCATCACTTCTGCAGTTCCCTGATACCTGCGAGGAGTCTGCCTCTCCATTCGTCTTCATCTGCACCAACCCCCAGGAGCTGCTGGTGAAATTCCCCATGAAAGGGAAGCACAAGATCTGTAAGTTTCATGTCAGGGGAGAAAAATAGTGGCTGAAATTAGCCACAACCAACTATGGATTTCTTTCTTTCTTTCACTTCTTTGATCAGGAATCTCCTCTGCATTTGTAAACCTGCATGCATACTCAAAGATGTGAAAGCACAGTGTCTGATTACTATATTTTCATTAATAAAACAACACTACACACACACACACACACACACACACACACACACACACACACACGTAGACTTGTACAGATTTTCTCTAAGCGCCATCTGTAAAGACTTTTGGAAAGGATTTTGCTGTCAGGTTGCCTGGGGGACAAGCCAGGCCTGGATGTGCAATGTTGTTGCTGTGTTGTGTGATTTATAATAGGACTCAAACACATTTTCCCTCTGCTGCCATAGCTGCTCCTGCAGTAAGATGTACCTGCAAGCTCTTTAGTTAATATTTCAAAACCCTCTAAAGACTTGAGAGTTTTGTTTATGCAGCTGTGCCTTCTTCAGATGTTTTCAGATCGATTGAGAATATTTTTGATAGGCTCAAGTTAGGATGCAGCAGGTACCGGACGGAACTGGATCAATGTCGACCTTGTTTGCACTTCCGTGAGTTTACCGTAAAATGATTTAGATGTTTGACTCGGGCCTAAAGTAAAGTAATAAAAACTCTTAATACTATGTTGTCAAGTATTAAAGAATCATTGCTGGTTTTTAAAAAGTCAAATAATTTTTAAAGATTTTCTATTTTAACAGTAATGCCACACTTTACTACTAAAACCCATATGGTGAATATTCAGGCATTATTGCCTGTGTTTTTTTTTTTTAGGTGGTATTAAATTGATTATCTAGAATACATTTTTGGGCTTGATGAAACTTGCTGAGAGATTGTTACAGGCTTGCTGTCACAGGATCAGATCGCTGTGAAATATCTACCTGCATTATTGCTACTGGCAGTAGCTTGTGGTTTAAGGATCAGCAGTTTGTATTTATTAGCGAATGAATAAATGTGTCTGTCTTTACGTTCTAAATAATTTATATTGAGTTTTACTTTTACTGCAACTTGTTTCTAAGCTTATCTTTATTAGTTCATTGCATGTTTTTAAAAATACATCTCTGAGTTTAAAGCAAGGCGAGACAAGGCAGCTTTATTTGTATAGCACATTTCATACACAATTGAATGTGCTTTCCATTAGCGAGAATAGCACAAACAGTAAAATAACATGACAGCGCAGTTAACCTACACAAATATATTTAAATCAAATTAAATACACAAATTAATTTCATATTTAAGAATCAGAAGAAGACAAAGTTAAAGGGTGAGAAGTTGCAGAAGGTGCAGCATAACAAACATTCATTCAATGGCTGATGTAGCGTCACAAAATGGCCTGATTTTAAGACTCACAGGTCAGATCCTCAGCCTGGGTCACCTTGCCCTGGCTACTACTCCAATCTCCGATAGTCCTTCACAGGAGACGTAAAAGTCTGCATCTACCACTCCTTTAATCTGCAGCTGTCTGCTTATCTGACTGCTATTCCATCCACAGCAAGACGAGGACATTTCAACATTTAAAAGAATCATTTAAATAAACTCTTTTTACTGCTAGTCATCAAGGTTCATTATGTAATGGAGTTAAAGAGTTACTTTTTATTTAATGACCAGAGATATTAATGATCCAAATCTATTATGGACCCCATCTCTGGACACTGGGCTATTTAAATCAGAAGAGTGGTTCTTTTTATTACAGGGAAATTTAATACACTTTGCATGAACTGAGAGACTAGAGAAGAGAGAGAGAACTCCAAATGTTTAAGCAAATTTTATTATCTAAATGATTTTAAACAGTTTAACAGGACTAACTCTAGTGATGGATGCTCATGGAATGAAATGTGAGGTGGAGTGTGTGTTGGTGCGATGTCAGTTCAGAACCTCCGTTCTGGAGAAGCGAGTCTGAGTGTGAGTTGAAATTTTGCTCCTAACTGATCAACGTTTGAACCGTGGTCAGAAAACAACATGAGACGCCATTCTGTGTCGCTCTACCTGTCATTACCCGTCATGAGACTCCCGTACAGATCAGGCTGCCAGGTCCACGGACCCTCCTCTGGTACTGGAGCCGATGAAACAGCGTCAACAGCACGACAAATCAGTCTTTGGATAGTCTCCAGGTAAAAAGCGGCAGGTGTTTCACAGGGTCAAAGGGACCCCCCCTTTGGGTCAGCGAGTTCAGCTTTTATTCTGAAGGAACCGTTGTTTTGTTGAAAACAATGACAAGATTTCCCAGCTTGGCAGTTCTCAGCTTAAAAGTAAAAAGTACAGATGGCCGGTCCTTACTCCACTTAGCAATGATGAACTTCAGGGGATCTGGAGATCTGGCTGAATACTGAACTCAAAATGGCATTATTCTGTTTTATTAAATAACACCACAGAGACTCTGCCACGCTTCAGATGTGAAGGTTCTGATTGGATTTGCGACCGGAATGTTTCATGATTATTTATCTTGTGTATCAGGTGACTAGTGGCTAGAATAAGTAATTTACTTATTAAAACATTAATCATAACATTGTGATTTCACAGATCGGTCACATGGTTATTATTGACTAACAGTTGTTTTGATTAGCTTTATTAAAATAGAGTTCTTGGTTTAATAAATGAAAAGAAAAGAGTCTTCTCTTCTGTCTTCATCGCTGGAATGTAAACAGTTTAGAAGTGAATGCATGACCTTGACTGTTTCATGCACTCTGGCACTGTGTCAAAAGGAAACAGCTGTAAGGGTAGAAATGGCTCCTTCATCACGTTACATACCCCCCTTTTCAAGGGCACGGTGGTCCGTCCAGAGACCACCTGGTCATTGAACAAACCAGAGTTATGAAGGATCCCGACAAGCAGGGTGCAATCTCACAGGAAGAGGCCAACAGTGGTGAGGTACGAACCCCACGCCGAAGAACAGTCTCGCATACTCCTCGGGAAGCACACGTCAGTAGATTATCAGATATTCCCATGGAAGCAATAATTGAAGCAGCAGCAACTTTATATCTCCACGGGTAATAATTTACATTTACGTTGTGTTATGTAATTTACATTACAATTAGAACTGAGTTTAATTACTGAAATGAATTCTTATTCTTTGGTTAATAATTATTTATGATAATCAGTAATGTTAACTATGACAAGTAATCATGTTCACTTATACACAGAAACACAGGTCACAGTAACTAGGTTAAAGGTAATTTGCACTCACATGCTCTTTTCCCATAACACCAGAACCTTCTATCTTCAGGGAGGCGTGTTTCTGAGGGTTTGTTAAAACCTTCCTTCTACATGTCAAAACCTGATTCGTTAGAAATGATAATAGCCATCTTTTAAAAGAGAACTCTCTTCATTTGCGAGTGAGTTCTTGAGAAGAAGGGACAGTCGCCCACATACTCTTTAACCAACAAAGCGATTTCTGTCACGCTGGCAGAGTTGCTCTGACACAACAAAACGACACCTGCAGAACAAGCTGATGCTACGAGATTCCTTAAGAATCTGCAGATGCAAACCAATTCCACCTGTGTGCCTGCAGCATCTCTAGGACCGGAGAAGTCTGTACCATCGTTCTTCCCTACTGGACCCAGTACCCTGAGTCTGTTCAACATCCTCCTGTGACCCCCAGATCCACGACAAGAGTCGCCTGACGGTGAGGTAGTTGCAGAATGCGTCTGAATGCTTTTTAATAAGAACAACTTAGCTTATTCGTAAACCAAATTCTTTTTCACCCAGAACGCGTCCTCTCTTTCAAGATGCACGTTCTGAGACATTGCATTTACCCGCAAACAAAACACACTTCACCTTAGATTCATCCAAACACAGGGTTGCTTTTTAATACCAAAGCTTTTATAAATTGTCTTTTATAAATTCTTTTTTTTTAATTGTCATGTTTAAATTGTTTAGTAATAAATTTCTTAACCTTGTTAAATTTGACTCTTGAAATAAACACAGAGTGGATGTATATTGATCACTGAACAAGCAAATATCTTTAGATCTTCTGAATTAACGAATAACTTTTGCTATTCAATTAAATCTTTAAATAAATGTTATAATCTTTTGATTAAACATAGACCAGGCAAGTTGGTGTATGAATTTCTATCTATCTATTATATATATATATATATATATATATATATATATATATATATATATATATATATATATATATACACACACACACACACACACACACATATATATATATATATATATATATATATATATATATATATATATATATATATATATATATATATATATATATATATTCGTTGTCGTCTTCCTCCGCTTATCTGGGTCCGGGTCGCGGGGGCAGCATCCCATCTAGGGGAGCTCCAGACCGTTCTCTCCCCAGCCACCTCCACCAGCTCCTCCGGCAGGACCCCAAGGCGCTCCCGGACCAGAATGGAGATGTAACCTCTCCAACGTGTCCTGGGTCGACCCGGGGGCCTCCTGCCGGCAGGACATGCCCGAAACACCTCCCCAGGGAGGCGTCCAGGAGGCATCCTGACCAGATGCCCAAACCACCTCAACTCGACTCCTTTCGATCCAGAGGAGCAGCGGTTCTACTCCAAGTCCCTCCCGAATGTCCAAGCTCCTCACCCTATCTCTAAGGCTGAGCCCGGCCACCCTACGGAGGAAACTCATTTCAGCCACTTGTATCCGCGATCTCTTTCTTTCGGTCATTACCCAAAGCTCATGACCATAGGTGAGGATTGGGACGTAGATCGACCGGTAAATCAAGAGCCTGGCTTTCTGGCTCAGCTCCCTCTTCACCATGACAGATCGGCTCAGCGTCAGCATCACTGCAGACGCTGAACCAATCCGCCTGTCGATCTCCTGATCCCTCCTACCCTCACTCGTGAACAAGACCCTGAGATACTTAAACTTCTCCACTTGAGGTAGGACCTCTCCCCCGGCCCGTAGTTTGCAAGCCACCCTTTTCTGTACTCAGAGGGACTTAGCACAGGTGCTCTGTTTTTGGCTCCTTCACCAGCTTATGTTGATCACCAACCATCTCACAGTAATAAAAGAAATGTACTTTTCCACTTCATCTGGCAGAGCTGTTGCTTCGTTACACAATAACAACAGTTGTTTTTTCATTAGGAAGGGGAATTTTAATGGCTTTTGGGTTTTTTTTTTTTTTTGCAATTTGTAAAAATTACTTTCTGTTACTGCTAAGATTTATTGTTTCATTAAGCTAATTCTGCAGTCATGTTGTGGAAAATGGAAATGGAAGCCTTGATGAATAGTGTGTACCCAAATCACTGAAGCAAGGACTTCTTCCTAGAGATTGGGCCTTTATCAAGAATTAAAAACAGATTTTCCACCAGCCTTTGTGCTACTTATGGCAATCTACACTGATTAGTTATAGTAGAACAACCTAATACTAAATAGATTTCTCATTTGCCACCAAAACACCCCTGACAGATCAGGATATAATAAAATGTCTTGGAGTTCCTAAGAGTGTTTGATACTAGAACATTAGCAATAAAATGTTCATCCCCTGTGGATTGTTGGGTTATCTCTCTGTAGATTCTGCTTGGACTTCTATCAGACTATCTTGGGAGTTTGGTGGCCTAGTGAACGCCTTATAAACGTCTTGTTTTTTGAGCCATCACTAGATTGTTTTAAACCCGAGTGATGTACTGCTGAGAAAGATACAGCATCTTAAAGTTAGCTTTGTCATCATGTTTAATGTGCCGTTGCTGTCGAATACCAGCAAGTGCTGGGATGCAGATTTGTTTTCCAATGGAATTTTGTATTCCAACAACTATGCTTGGAGCAGCAGTAGCTCAGGAGGAAGAGCGGGTTGCCCCTTAATCGGAGGATTGTGGAGCTGATTCCAGCCATCACCAGGGGTATTTTGCTGTTCAATTAAATTCAGTTCAAAGATACTTTATTAATCCCAGAGGGAAATTAGAGTCCTTGTGTCCTTGGGCAAGACACTTCTCTAGTGTAAGAGTTGGTAAATGTAGTGCTTTAAGAGCTTAATATATTACCTCTACTTATGACCAATAAGCTGTGATACTCTATATAAATATATAATATCTACCTGCTTGGTCTTTGGATGTTTAATCAGAAGATTCTAAGATTCTTTGTTTATTCAGGGATTGTAGAAAATTTCGTCTTGATTCAAGGAAAGAGTCAGGTTTATAAAAAGTAAGAATTCGTTTTCCAAATAATTAAAACATGTCAAGTTAACTAATATTTACTGTGATGGATGGATCTAGGTGGATGGAATGTGATGTGTGGTGCCTATGTGTGAATATGATGTTATCAGAACTTTCCTATCTAGAAGAACTGAGTTCTGGGTGTAAAAGGGGAAAGAATTTGTTTTGTATTAAGCTATGAAGTTGATTCTTATCAAAAAGCATCAGACGCTATCTGTGTGTCTACTTCACCCTTTCTTGGAGACCCTCTTCGTGGATCCGAAGGTCAGGGAGGTCGGATGGCCTCTGGGCATCAGGGTTTGTAAAATAACCTCCGCACTGACTCTCCAGTCCAGAGATGTCCTGGGTCACAACAGATGGATGGAACCATTGCGTCTAGGAGGACTCTTAAGGAGTCTGAACAATATCAGCTTTGTTCTGCAGGAACCGTTTGCTGTGTCAGCAGTAGGCAGCTTTTAGCAGGGTTTTGGCAGCTGGCCAAAAATGCTCAGGGTTAAAGAGGTGTCGCTCCGGACGGCCGTTCCGAAGCGCTCTCTTAAACTGAATGCTGAGTGATGGGAAGCTGGAATGTGACTACAACTGCTGAATTCTCATTTTATGATTTACTTGGCCAATCGGCGTGTGCCATGTTAAGGGATATTACCAAGAAAACTCAGAACACCATGCCTTCTTGAGATATCAGATGCTCTGCTCTGGGGTAAAGAAATATCTATGTGTCATGAGTTTAACTTAACTTTAATTTGTCCTTGTGTCTGGTGCAGGTGACGATTGTCTTGTCATAGCAGACATTACTGATTACCATATATATATATATATATATATCGTCCAATGTAATACTTCATTTCATTTCAATAATTCAAGCACAGATTAATGAAACATTATTATTATCCATATAACATTTGTTAATTTCATTTCTTGAATGATCAACTCACATAAGCAGTCCTCTTATTGTAGAGAGTGGGCACTCCTGTGGTGTTTTCAAAGAAGGCTTTGTTTGGGAACACAGTCTGACAACGTGTTCCCCCTGAAATGTCAAGGTTGCAATATCCTTCTGGCTTGTAGGGAGATAGAGTGTAAAATCCACTTCAGAGGATAGAATTAGGTCCACAGATGACCAGTGTCATATAGGTCAATATGTAGGTGAAAATTGACCATTTCTGGACATTACACTAGACTTGCCTGTTGGTGGTGGTCAGAGGGGTCATTGGTGCAAAATGGCAACCTCACTTCTGTTAGACCGCTGCAGGGTGGCTGTGGCTACATCGTAGCTTACCATCACCGGCAGTGTGAGAATGTGTGAATAATGGAAAGACGTTTGAGTGTGTAGAAAAGCTCTATATAAATCCAACCTATTATTAAAATGTATTATTACTTATTTTATTTGTAGTTAATATTATGGCTAGTCAATGGAAATATTGTTATTACATCACAAAATCTGTTTGTCATGAAGCTCAAGAAAACTTCTTTGCTCAACAGCTGCTAGAATATCATTTTAATACTTGTTTCCTTCAGTATTTTATCATTTCCTGGTGGTAATTGGAGGGACCGGTGGCACCACTGTTCAGTAGTCTCGCTTCCATCAGTGCGCCTCAAGGCAGCTGGGGCTACATTGTGGCTCATCATCACCAGCGTATGAATGTGTGGATGGCTGGTTGTGTTGTGAAGCCTTGGGGGGGGGGGCGTTAGAACACTATACAAATACAGGCCATTTACCATTTTGTGATGACATAGGAAGGACATATCTGTGGCCACATTTTCATATTAGCATCACTGGTTTCATTTGTTCCATCCATCCATCCATTTTCTTCTGCTTATCCAGAGTCTGGTCGCAGGGGCAGCAGCCCAAGCCGAGAGGCCCAGTCCTCTCCCTAGACAATTGGGCCAGCTCCTACGGGGGAATCCTAAGACATTCCCTGGCCAGCCAAGAGACATAGTCGATCCAGCGTGCCCTGGGTCTTCCTTTAGGTCTCCTTCTGGTTGGACGTGCCCGGAAAACCTCACCTCGCTCCTCTCAATGTGGAGGAGCAGCGGGTCTACTCCAAGCCTCTCCCGGATGACCGAGTTTCTCGCCCTATCTCTAAGGGAGAGCCCAGCAAGTCTGCAGAGAAAACCCATTTTGGCCACTTGTATCCGCGATCTCGTTGTTTCTGTCACTACTAGGGTTGTCACGGTAACCGGTATAGTGGTAAACCCCGGTAAAAAAGTTGACAATAAAAATAACCGTCCAGTTTTAAAAAAACTAAATTATCTCGGTGGGTTTACCGTGGCCGCGGTTTCGGCGCTGTGACCCTTACCAGCCACCGTCGCTTCAGCTGAAGTTCCCGCGGCGCGCACACGCACTTTTTAGTTTGCAACGGCACCAAAACTTTGAAGCTGAAATAATGGCCGAAGGAGGAGACGGCAGCGCCCAGGACATCCATCAGCCCTCAAAGAAGACTAAATCGGAAGTATGGGCATATTTTGGATTTCTGAAAAA